CGAAAGACTAAGCCTTTGAAATGGGAAGAGCAATTGTGTCTTATAATGTGGCTTTTTGAAACACATTTAGTCATTTACTTTATTTCTTACCTGCAAAACTTATTTAAACAAACTAAAATATGTTTCAAGCAAGCATTAAATATCACACGCATTCATTCTACTTAAATTTGGATCTGAAATAAAATGAATCTTTTGACCAAAGCTTTTGCTAATTTTGAAGGAATTCCTTTGCTAATTCTGAAGGAGTTCAGATGCTCACTGAGAACTTCCCTCCGTGTGGCGTCGCCTTTTCACAGTCCCTGCTAAAAAAATTAATTCATGCTGGTCCAGGCTGGTTTATGGCTAGTGCTGGTATAGCTATGGACCAGCATGCTGTTCTGAAGCAAAGAGCTGGTAGAGCTGGTTCACCAGCATGGTCTTGCTGGGTTGAGTGGCCAACTGTTTGTGTGCAAGGAGTGTTTTAGGGATAAGCAATGTTTTTGCTTGAATACAGTATATTTAACACATTTGTGATGTATTAAAAGGAAAAAACAATATGAGGTTAAAACATTATTTACCAACGCATTCTTACCCCAAGGCGTCACCTTTGACCATGCTTCAATATTTGACGTTTCAGTTAAGTGACGCCTTGGGGTGAGAATGGGCTGTATTTACTGAATTATATTATAACTTTGCAATTTCTTTTGCTCCCTCTGCTGAAATACTGACATAATTGTTTAATTGTTTTAGTTATGATTACATTATTAATTAGTCACTGCTAAACTGGTAAATCATTTCAAAGCATCAAATGAATTGCCTCCTGTTTCAAATGATCTGTACACAAATTAGGTAAAATCAATAAAAAGAGCTTGTGTACATCTCAAAACAAGAATCAGCAACCAGCATCTCATGATGGCCCCAGCATGCAAAACATGCCTTGAGCCGGTGACCAGCAATGCTCGATTTCTCAGCAGGGGTGCCCTTCAAGGAAGCAAAAAAAAAAAAAAAAAATGTAATGAGGAATTTGGCTATACCAAATTATAATATATATATAATATATAGTTTAATCAGTCTGATGAACCCTTCACTGGACCAAATCACTGATTCCATCAGAGTGGCTACTGAATCAACATGAGTCACTTACTGAACGGCAAGTTCCATTTCAGGGCATCATTATATTACATTGCAATGCATCGGCACGTGCTATCAAGTAAAAAAACATATAGGCATATTCCCTCTTTGTCTGTATACCTTACACATGTGTCTTTGTTCATGTTTATACTCTTTTGTAGCTTACCATAAGCCTTATGATAATGACATGAAATTGATAAGCATAGCATAGCCAATCTAATAGTATGACAAGGATAAGTTAAGAGAACAACTGCATTCTACCAGTCATATTTCATCAAACCATTTTTGTGTTTGAGGAAATTTAAGAGATATTTAAGAAAAACTACACCTCTCTAGATGGATCCTATAAAAACAAGTTTGGAGAACCCTTGCATTAAGACACAAAGAGCTTATAAATCATCTTTGATCAAGGGACCTCTCTTGAACTGTATCTGTGAAACTAAACCTCCTAATCTAACCCATGTAGAGTTTGGCTGTTTAAAGGGATACTCCACTTTTTTTGGAAATAGGCTCATTTTACAACTCCCCCAGAGTTAAACTGTTGAGTTTTACCGTTATTGAATCCATTCAGCCGATCTCCGGTTCTGGCGGTACCACTTTTAGCATAGCTTAGCATACATCATTGAAGTGGACAAGACCATTAGCATTTCTCCAAAAAAAAAAAAAAGACCAAACTTGACTCTTCTGTAGCACCTATTGAGATCAAGGGAGTGAGGTTTACTCGCACAGCAACTACCAGCTGGCCTCCGTTACATATGGCTAGGAACTACACTCCCATTCCTGTGTAATAATCAAGAAAGTTTACTGCCGTACCTACCGAGTGCAGCAGGCGTAATGATATGACGCAGTGTCTGAAAATAGTCCCCAGCTCGATAAATTCCAACTTGACCGGGACTAAGTTTGTGTAGGTATTTTGACGGAAGGTAGCCTATTTTCAGACACTGCGTCATATCATTATGCCCGCTGCACTCATGGTATGGCAGTAAAGTTTCTTGATTATTATGTAGGAATGAGAGTATAGTTCCTAGCCATATCAAATCGCAACTTTACATTTTCCGTCGGTCTTAGTGCACGATGTAAAAACAGAAGAGTTGAGAAATGCTAATGGTCTAGTCCACTTTAAAGGGGTGATGAACTGAGAAATCAAATTTTCCTTGAGCTTTTGACATCTAAGAGGTAATCATATTATAAGAATATCCTGTAAGTTTCAGAACTGAAAACATCCTTGTTAGTCCAATAAAAGCTTTTATTGACACCAGCCTCTGAAAACGACTCGTTTTTCAAAGTGGGGAACTATGACGTCGAAGGGGTTAAAACACCACCCCCGCAGAAGAAGATCAACACCTACTTCAACACCGCCGGTTTAGCCCCGCCCACTAAATCGCGTATTACACGCATAGCTAAGTAGCCTAACATACATGCCTACCTCGTGATGACAAACCGGATCGTTATACCAAGCAATACAGAATATTGTGCAGTGGCTGGTTGTAGAAGAAGACAGTCGCTGCATAAGCTTCCTCTTGATTCCAACAGGACTTCATGGATAAACTTTATTTTTAATGACGTTCCAGCTGATGAGGGTAAAACATCGTCGTCTGTTCGCTTCATTTCACTGAGGATTGTTTTGTAAACAAGACTGGATTTGCAGACGATTAAGAGTAAAGAACAGTGCTGTGCCGTCTATACTGGATCTGACAGGAATTGTGCAACAAACGGATTCTTGGTTGAACATGTATGGGCGAATCATTCCGGTTGCCATTTGACAACATTGGACGTTTTCCCCATAGTGTTTTCACCCACGTACACCGACGGGTGAGTTAAACTCATTATAATATGCAAAACTGTTATCCACTCACAGCAGTGGGCGTTTATTTCCGAGTCTTCAGTGCGACACGCCCATAAAAACCGACCGTTTTTCAGGAAGGCTCACAACTTGGGTACAAAATAGCCTATTACTCATTCATTTTGATGTTTTTGAATGCAAAAACCAAGAGAACGTCATAAGTTGACCTCAGACAACAATATAATACAATTTTAAAAGCCAGTTCATGACCCCTTTAATGATGTATGCTAAGCTATGCTAAAAGTGGTACTGCCAGAACCGGATATCGGCTGAATGGATTCAAAAAAAAAGGTAAAACTCAAGAGTTTAACTCTGGAGGAGTTGTAAAATGAGCCTATTGCCCAAAAAAGTGGAGTATCCCTTTAAAGCAAGAACTTGTGTCATTTTTTTTTTGTGCTACTTTTATTGGTTCGAACTGTAAATCTAGACACAGAGAGACAATCTAATCCTCTTCTGTCTGGCTCCAATCCTTCCAACACCCCAATGGAGAGTTTTCCAATGTTCTAGCAAATATTTTACGTATTTATCCCCTGACACAATCTGTTGGCAATAATAGTTTTCCAGCATTACCATATCCCGATTTTAAGTATGTTTGGCTGTATGCAATAATTCTATTGACACATCTATAAAGTATTAGGTGGAGATGAGAAGCCCCTCATTGATTAAGCACTGACAGAGACATGGATCTGTTTACCTTGACTAGCATTAGAGGAATGTGCAGCGCCAGATAATGACTCTAATCATTATCCAGAAGCTCTTTAGTATGTAAAAACGGGTGGCCCTGTTTTGTCTCCCATGAGAATAGACCCTTGCATGTTTTACCTTTGCTAGTAAAAGCACAATAAAAGCTCTTTGCAATGCCATAATGTTCATTATTTTTGGTAGAACAACTGAAATATGAGAAATGCTGTTGGACACGGGGCGTAAATTAGCGCAGATGTTTACAGTAATGCTGGTTTTGCACCTGTCCTATTTCTAACGTATGCCGATGGCTATCAGTAGACAGCTGACAGCATAATGAAATAGAAGGGAACCCCTTCCCCCACACTCACACTCATAGCATATGGTCTTCATTATATTGCACACTGTCCAAGATGTTGGCCAATCCATCAAATCTTTGTACTTTTCCACTGCGCACTGTTTTTGAAGCAACTTCCTAATCCTTTGCCACCAAGAGCAACTAAATGGTGGGATCAGCTGACGCAGATCCTGAGATTTCGGTAACTGTGTAGTCTATATTGGCTCATTAGCTCATGTGATGTCCCAATGAGTTTAATTAAATTTGCACTGTTCAGATTGGCTCGACCCAACGGGTGAAGAACCAATTAAATCAAGCATTAGAAACAAAGCCTTCATTCTGAATTGATCTTAAACTTCATTACAGGTCATTTAGCAGAAACCTTTCGCGAGAATTGCAAGGACGGTCCTTGTGGAGCAATTTGGTGCAGAACAACAGTGCCAGGGTTTTCATCTCTTCGGTTCACATGCAGGACATCCAGAGCTGAAGCTGCAATCTTTGGATTATCCACAATTATCATTAGCAGCCAAACTGCAATGCGTACGGGCTACTTTATTTACAAACATATTATCTACATACCGAAATCTTTGCTTCTGTATTTTAAAGCCTTTAGTATGTACAACAAACTGTAGATTTTAGTTTGATATCCTTTTTTAAATTGTTCCTGGAGATCAACCCATGAATCAAAGTGCAGAAATATACAAACAACCTGCTTAATCGCATGTTTACCAATCCTGCTGACCCTAAATAGGCTTATATTAATATTGGTTTATGCTGATGCTGTAAATAATTCATATTTGCAGTCATTTACAGACAAGAGATATAAATAATTCAGTGGAACAACCATTATGTAGGTTGCTAATAACTAGGCACTTGTGTTATTGATAATGTGTCTGTGCAGGAAAATATAAATACTTCTGCACTAACAGCATCAAAGTTTTTTACTTTTTGAACATAAAACATTATCATATAGTCTGACGCTGTGTTAGTACACATCTGCATACGACTGTAGGTAATTCCTCCACTCACCACATAGTAGAACTGCATGTCCTGGCGAACAGGATCCTCAGCCTGCATGAGTATAGATGAGGTTTTATCCGATCCCATGTGGAACAAAACCATAACACCTCCCGGTTACACTCAGATCAGCTGAAAACCCAACAAATAACAAAGCAGTTCCCACTTGTTTTCTTCAGTCAGACTCTTGATGGAGGGAGTCAGTCCACCTGTGGAGCAGCTCCTTTTTCTGGGCCGTTGGTAAGAGGTTCAGTGTCAATGTTTCCTCTGCGTCTGTGTATCTGAGAAGTGATAGCAGCTCTTCCTGTGAAAGAGTGTCTGTGTGCACCCCAGCTGATAAAATGCGAGTCCCTGCACGCAGCTCAGCGCAGCCTCTGCTGTTCTCCTCGCCTGTCAACAACAGGAAATGTGCCACTGGCTGCTCAGAGTTTGACAAGCTCTCAGCCTTTTCTCTGATCAGCACCAGGAAGCACTGGGAATGCATTAGTTTGGGCTGGGATCAGGTCTCACTTATCCTGCCATTACAACATCCTTAACTGCGCATGCCATAAAAAGGTCTGAAGGTTCAAGTCTGTCCAGCTTTTATCTCAGTAGTAATTGCAGTATGATAGCTGAACTTTGCTCCATCACCTATTTGATCTGATTGAAATGCTAGAATAAGTATTATGACTTACTATGACTTGATCATATTTCTTAATAGTTGATGGTGAGTGCGTCATCTTGTGTGTTAAACAACGAAAGAAATAAAATAAAATAAATCGTTAAAAAAAGATCTGCCTTTAACATTTTATGGCCCCTGTAATAGTTTATATCACATTTACAAAAAAAAATATATTACTGTACTGTCAAATAATTTACAAAAGGTATGCTCAAAGTCCTCTGTGAAGACAATTAATGCATGCTCATAAATGGCCAACTTTTTGTACTCTGTACAGACCAGCCATATGCAAAACAATAGCAAAGCTTTCTTAAAGACATTTCATTTGAACAAATGTTGTTTTCATCAAAAAGTATAGTTTTTCTTTCAGTTATTACTACAACAGCATTGTTTTAATCTATTGTTTTAAAAGAAAGGAATGCTTTTATTTTGCAAGGAAGTACTGAATATTTTTACATTCTCTTTCAACTAAATGCTGTTCTTTTGTACTTTCTAAGAATACTGAAAAAAGGGTAACACTTTACAATAAGGTTCATTAGTTAACATTAGTAAATGCATTAACTAACATGAACTAATGATGAGCAATGCATTAGTTACAGTGTTTATTAATCTTTGTTAATGTTAGTTAATACAAATACAGCTGTTCATTGTGCGTTCATGTTAGTTCACAGTCCATTAACTAATGTTAACTAATACAACCTTTGATTTTAATAACGTATTAGTAAATGTTGGAATTAATATTAACTAAGATTAATAAATGCTGAAGAAGTATTGTTCACATATTGTACATGTTAACTAATGTAGCTAACTAATGTTAACTAATGAACCTTATTGTAAAGTGTTACCGAAAAATGTATCCCCATAGCCTATCTACAAGATAAGGGGTCATCGGATGCCAAATTCACTTTAGTGTTTTTGCAGTGTTTAGACACAACCACCATACAATGGGAAAAAATCAATTCGGTCCTTTTTTTAATCCTCAAAAAGCCTAAACACTCTCAATAATGAAGCCGTTTGAATTTTCTGAGCAATATGATATCATATTGCTAATGCTCCTCCCATGACCACTGAAGGACTGTCCAACACTATCTCACGACCAATTCGTACGAATTCGACGCATGATTAAAAAGTGGCTAATTCGTACTAATTCGTACGACCTCACTCGTACTAATTCGTACGATTTGTCTAAACCCACGTGATGGTTAAGTTTAGGGGCGGGGTAAGGGGTAGGTCATTCGTACGAATTCATACGAATTGGCCAATTCGTAAAATATGTACGATTTAGCAAAATCGTATTAATTCGTACGAGTGAGGTCGTATGAATTGTTACGAATTAGCCACTTTTTAATCATTCGTCGAATTCGTACGACTTGGTCGTGAGATCGGGTTGGACTGTCCCGACTCCCGTATTAGCCATAGACACAGTAAAAGAAATGGACAAAGCAACCCCATAGACTTCAATGGAGAAAAGTGAAGCCAATTAGAAGCACTCACTTGATGGCTGACTGTACAGCACAAGCTCAAACTGAGATTGACGACGGAGGTGTGACCTGAGCAACCTGTCTGACAGTTGTAAGCCTTCTAGTAGCTGTGCCAAAACAAATGTGAATTGAAATCTGAAACAAATCCGTTATTGGAACATTAATATATGGGAGTCAATGGAATGCTAACAGTACGTGATGGTCTGCTACAATGGCGGCCCCTAGAGGAAGCTTCAGTTTCCGGCTGATGGATTACCACCTTGGCATTAGCATATTTCCGCCCTTAGCCATTTGTATACTTTCACCTGAGTAAGTTGTCATGGCATCACTTTACATGTCTTGTGTGTCAACATGCCCCAAGGAAGAGAGGAGTCTGCTCACCCCTGTGAGCAGTTGCTCATTATCATTTAAAGAGACATTCACCGAAACGGGTCACTGTGAACAGAGCTGTTTTTGAGGAGGTAAAAAGGGTGTTGTTTTACACAACCATTGAGGAATTTTAACCAAAGTATGTTACAAACTTTACACGAAGACCCTAAAGAATCATACCAACTTGTGGAAAATGGGCTGCCGATGACCCCTTTAAAGATAGGGTAGGCAATTTTGGAGCGGCTAGCAATAGCAAGCTAGCATTGAAATCATAAGATCCCTCCCTTCAGAGCATCTCCAAAGCCACGCCTCCTTCAAAACAGATTCAGCAAATGTCATAAAGAGACGTCTTTAATTACCTCATGTCTCAAGCACATAACATTAGAATAATAAAGAACTTAAATAACTTACAGAGCTCTTACTTGTACCACCTGACAACTGCAGATTAATTTAAATCCGATTCCAAGGAAGTGAACAGCTCCGGAACGTCACGGGTTGCCTAGCAGCACAACTGTTGTCAACATAATAATAATTATAAATATTTCTTAAGTATCAAATCAGCATATTAGAATGATTTCTGATGGATTATGTGGAGTAATGATGCTGAAAAAGCTTTGCCATCACATGAATGAATGAATTAAACGCATAGGCCTAATGTTCCATAAATTCCATTAAAATTTAAATAGAAAACATTATTTTAAATGATAAGTTTTCACAATATTACTGTTTTTCCTGTATTTGTGATCAAATAAATGCAGCCATCTTACTGACCCCTAAAAGAACTGGGTTACTCAACATATAAAAATTGAAGTTAGATCAAAGTACCTTAGTGACCTTTGCTGTAGGCACACGATATAGGCTAATGGATCAGAAGCATTTTCTAGTGCCCTGCGAAAAACAGGTGTTTATGAAACTTCCGCGGTGGCTGTGGTCGTTGCTATTTCGCTGCAGAGGTTTGATAAAGCAGAAACGGATAGTAAAAATAAACCCACAAGGGGGCAATATTGCTCAGGTTTATCATAATGGAAGTCATTACATAAGTTTGTTGTAGAATTACTAATAGATAATGTTTTGTGTGCTTTTCAGTTTGAAAGGGAAATCTGATCCAAGACCTCAAAATCTTATGGATAGGAACACCAGAAAAAGGAATTGTATATCGTAGTTTTAAAAAGAAAAAAACTCCACAACTGCAGGGACTGTTATGCAAGAAAAATAATTTATTTTAATGATATACATTTTACCACATTGGCAAGACATACTGCAGCTGATTAAAGATCCCACAGCAACCTTCATTTCTTCTGGAGGGTGAGGTCTAAAATATGCACATTTTAACATGTCTTTCCAAGGAAAAAATAACAAAAATATAATTTTCATTGAGGAACCCTTCCATTCCTTCAGGGCAATCTGCAATTTTTAAAGCTTTTCCCATCCAATCTGGCAATGCGTGATGCGGGGAGTTGTCAACTTGCGATGACAGGAATTGATTAAAAGTTTCACTTGACAGCAAAATGGTTAACAAACTTGTTCAGAAAACCCTTTTTTTTCTCCCTTAGTTGGGACATTTCACTCTGTATTTCAAAATGTGATTCAGAATGAACCCCTATTGGTTATGCAAGGAAAAAGGAGATGAGCAGAAAATGGTTTGAGTGAAGTTAGTGAAACTCAAGAGAGGAATTTGTCACTTTTTCATGTCAGTTTGTCAATTGCTATGTGATTATAACAAAAGTATGTCTGTCCAATGGATCCTCCTCCGTGGGATTTACATTAGTGATGCACAGGGCTTCTAACAGTCCACTAAGGTACATTTCTCTATTTTGTTTTGCCCCTTCTCCTTCCACTGTTCCTCCCTCTCTCCTCTTCGTGTACCTGTGAGAGTACTGTTGACATTGATAGGGTTAAGCACAGAGTACACAAGAGTAGTGATAAATATCAGAGTAGTAAATCCTAAAAAGAGTCAAAGAAACTCTGCATACTTCTACGGAAGTGCAATACCAAGGCATTTAAAAACACAGAGGCTTCACGCCAGAGTACAAGGCAAATAAACACTGGTTGTCTGACTTTTTTTTTTCATTCACTAAATATTTAAAACAAGTGTCACACACTATTTTAATGTGGTGGTATTCTGTTTCTTTTTTCATGTTATGATTTTCATATTGTCGGAATACCTGAACGACTAGTCTGAGAAGATGAATATCTAGAGTTAGAACAGATTTTTGCCAAGCACTTCCTCTCCTGGACTGCTGAGGGCGCTCTGGCTCAATAGCACCAGGTTTCTGTCCATTGTCTGATTGGGAGCCAGAAGAACAATCACATGAGGAAGGGGAGCTTCATAAGGAATGGTAAGAAGAAGCAGTCTCTGAAGTTTCAGTCTCTGCGGCTGCCTGTTGTAGATCCTCGGTCTGCAGTAGTCTCCAAAATTCCTTTAAAGTAGGATGGTGGTCAGTTACCACAGATGACCCACTCGAGTTCTTGAGTAAATTACCACAAGTGATCAAAGTCTGCAAAGTTTTTGTGCATTCAAACATCGATCTACAATCCGATCTTGCAGTTGCATGGAGGGCAACCATTAAAAAAAAATCTTTTTGGTCAAAAATTGAATCTAAACAAAGTGTTGAGCTCTGCCACACCCTTTCTTAACATTCACTGGCGTTTACTGTCAGTGCAGAGAGATAGGCAGGTTTGATTCAGCTTTGATGCATAGTCTGAAATGGACAAAGTGAGAAGCTTTGCACTTGAATGATCCTGTCTTGTGAGATGATCTGGAATTGTCTAATTTTCTGTGGGGGCAAGCATGAGAGATGTATGAATCCTGTCATATTTTACCGTCCTTAGGCCTTAGCAAATCTCGTCCCTGATACTTTGTGTTGACGAGTAAAATCTCTCTGTGAAGTAGCCACAGTTTGACCAGTAGCCATGATGGGTTTGAGTTGCAAAGAAACCCCTGAGAGATTTGACACAATGTACGGCCAGCACCAAACCAATGCCCCTCTTCTGTAGCCCAGGGTCCTCTCCTTTGTCTCCCACTTACTGTTATTTCCTCATTTTGTACCATCCACAAATGTTCTATTCTAAGGTATGTTTTGTCTATGTCAATTTTGATTTGTTGTATGTTGGGCACAATCATACTGTATCGATATGCTGTCTGTTTACACTTCTGTTAGTGAGGGAAGATTGTTAGATGTGGTTCATGTATATTGCATGATGATGGTTCAATATTACCACTTCAATCCATTGTGTGCTGTGAGCTTATAAAATAATAGGCAGTTTCCCAAGAATTGTCACAGATATGGACAGCTTTGTGTCCCTTGCGTCTTTGATCAAGCAGTTACATTTTTGTATATATATATATATATTTATATGTCGTATACATAGTTTTGTACAGATTAAATAAACTCAAGAAGACATTTATATGGCCTTTCATATCTTTTGAAAAAATAACACCGAAAAAGAAAGGGAAAATAACAAATATAGCTTTTTGTCATGTAAACTAGTTCCTGTACTGGTGAAAGTGCTTCATTTTTTATGGGTACCAGACCTTGCTTACAACCTCTGTGGAATGTTTCTCTCTCTCTCTCTCTGTGCGAGTTTGTGCAGTCTTTTAAAACACAATTATCCTACTAAGACACTTTCTAGTCCACCACTGAAATGGGCAGAGCAGGCTTTGGCCACAAAAATAGGCTGGGCACCTAAAATAGTGAACAGTGTTGAAAATATTTCTTGAAGCAGTTTCCATTCAAGAGTTTCATCATCGCATTCATATTTCCAAAATAGCAGATTTCTATGCCAGAATTTTGTATCAGTGGTGGTTTCAGTTTCCTTTAATACTGACTATACTCCACAACAATTTTACATCATCAGTGTGATCCCCTTGTCTGAAAGCAACAACTCAAACCCACTTTCCTTCAGCTTGAAGTCTTTGTAAATTAAACCGTTTAGATGGGCAGTGGAGCATAGGGAAAACCAGCCATATTGAGAGCCAGCATGTGGTTCTCGACAAGTGGAATCACTGGTCCTGCTGGGCTGATTTTGGTGTGTTTGTCACGCTCCCATCTGGTTGTGACTGAGAGAACTCAGTGACTCGTCGTGCCAAGGGGTTTGTGCTCTTCAGCAACTCCATGGCAGAAACTCGGGTCCCACTGCTGGCTTTGCTGCTCCTCTTCTGGAGAAGAGCCATAAAGTTTTCATTTCGTGAGCTTGACCTAGGTGTGGTCCCGAGGCCCAGAGTTCGGAGGTCTGTGCTACTGCTTTTCACAGGTGAGACCAGACACTGCCTGCTTCCAAAAGAATCTGTTGGTTCCTTGCGACCTAGAACTTTCCTCTTTGACCTAGGAAAGCCAGAACAATAAAAATGTTTTGTTAAAGTTTACGCCAGGGATCCTCAAATCTGGCCACTGCCCTGCAGAGCTTATCTTCAACCCAGAACAAAGACTCATGAGCAAGCTCAATCAAACCAATCAAGATCTTCTGAGTTACAAATTTTCTGTCATTAATTACTCACCCCCATGTTGTTCCAACCCTGTAAGACTTTCGTTCATCTTCAGAACACAAATTAAGATATTTTTTATTAAATCTGAGAGCTGGATCCTCTATAGTGTGACTGCACAGCACTTCTGTGTTGTACGTCACACGAATCACACACATGACCAGCGTCGGCCAATAGTGAGCCTACATGTGACGTACAACAGGGTCAAATATACCTTTAATTGACAAAGATGATTTAAATTAAAAGGTTCCACATGATTACTTTTATATTAAAAAAATGTAATTAAGTTGTTACCACTGCACTAGAAAACATGAGGTAACAGACCATATCCGCATGTGTGTTCATTATGTCAGATTACACTAAACTGTGAGTAACTTTGGTCAGACAGAAATAGTTAAATTAATCAGTGTGAATGTTTGACAAGTTCTGTACCTGTGAATGATGGTGAAGAGGTCCTCAGTGGTATGAGTTGTGGGTGTGTGGACAGATACATCATCATCTGTTTCCTCTGTAATGTGTAGTTCGGTCTTGTCAACTGCAGAGTTGTTCTCTTCCGATACTTCTGTTTCTGCATAAGTTTCTGTGGAGCAGCATATTTAAAAGAACACAAATTAAGCCACAAACGTCCTTTATCTAAATAAAACAGTATTTGTTTAACTGACAATGTAGAAACAAATATTTAACCTTTTACTGTCTCTGCTGGAAGTGTCTCAGTTTCCATAATTTGTTGAGAATCTGAATCTTTTAAACTCTTCTCTTCAACTACCACATCAGTCTCCTGATTTTCAAAGGTCTCATAACTTTCAGAATATGTATGGTTTCCATGTAAAATTAGCTTTGCAGGATCATCTTGATCTTCATCTTTCAGCAAATCTCCCTCAATCTCAGATGCCGATGGACTCGTAGGCGAATGGGAGATGCTATCGGAAAGTAGAGTTTGCCTTTCTGCACCGCCATTGGTCTGGCTGCTTGGAGAGGGCAGAAGAAGGACATTGGGTTTTTTGGGCACTGGAGGAGGTACCTTAGGCTTTCTTTTGTCTAATTCTGCTAAACAGGATATTGTCATTCTACTTGGAAGGGTCTTACTTTTGTTCTCTCTCTCTGGGCTACTTGGGGATGGAAGATCTTCCTCAATGGGAATCCCATGCTCCAGGTCAAACTCAGGGAGAGGAGGTACATAGCTGCAGAGTGGCTCTTGAGGGGCTATTACAGATGCACTGAGTGATGACTGAGGTGTTCGTTTAGGTTTGGGCTTTCTTACAACCATATAGATGTTACCCACAGGCATGGGTCGGTCGATAGGGGAAGATGGAGGAGATTCAGGTGCCAGAGGGGAGGATGAGGGAGATTTAAGCATCAAATTCATGGGTCGTTTAGGTAGAGGCGGCTTCATTGCAACTGGTGGCTTTGACTGTTTTGTGTTAGAGGGGGTGACAGGAGGGCTGAGATCTCGAATTTGCTCTTCCTCTATAATGTCAGAAGAGCCATCAGGACTGTCCTCAAGTTCTGAGCGGCTTACTGAACGAAGGCGGATGTTTCTCAAGTCTGTTGTGGTAACCATAGGCAGAGAAGACTGACTGGGGCTAAGTTTGCCTGGTTTGTTGGCTGTAGATGTGTCAGAATGGCGTCGGCTGGCTTTAGGCTTGGGTTTGACAGAGGACAAATCCAGTTGAGAGTTTGCAGGTAGTTCAAATGAAAGACGTGACCGTGATTTATCCTTTGCAGAGGCTGGGAGGGAAGATTTACGCTCTGGAATCTTTGGCCGCATCTTGCAGCCAACTGGAGAAGGTCCAGTGATGAGGGTGTTTGATATAGTTGGGGTTGGAGTTTCAGACTGGCTTGAGTAGCCACTGGATGGAGACATGAGACATGGGGGCTTGAAGGGGGATACCTTAGTCTCAGCCTCGATTGAGAGCTGGGATGGAGACGTGGCTCGTGAGGTTGAGGGTGAATTCAGGGATTCTGAGCTGCCCCGCACCTTCATGCACTCAATCACTGTGGTACCTGTGGCTGTGCTTGAACCTGACAGTGATCGGTAGGGATCATTGTTGGACTTCCACTCATTGAGCTGCCAGTGAGGAGGAAATCCAAGCTCTGTTTCCCTGTCAGCAGGCTGAGAAATATCAGAAGTTGTCTCCAAACTACTGTGGGCTTGATCTGTGTCGTCCTCAGGTTTGGCAATCAGGAACTCAGGCTGGAATGAATCTTGAACATGGTGATCTCGAGGGATAAAGAGACTCTTGGGTCTGCCATCCCTGAAACGCCCTTCACTGTGGTAGGAGCCCATTCCTCCAACCTCTGATAGGTTTTTCATCAGGGAGACACTACGTACTGGAGGCGGTGGCTTTTTCTTAGATTTCTTTAGTGAGATACTGCGTGAGCGGGACCTCAGTCGACTATCTGGAAAAAAGTCTGAACCTGTGGTCACAGAGACGTTATCAGTGCTCGTGCTATCCTCCGAGCTATTGCTCGGATATAGCAGGGCATAACTCTCACCCTCTGGAACGACAGGGACAGCCTCACCTGGGGAACATATATTATCTGCTGAGCAAAATGATCCAGAGTCTGTTGGTGTTGAAAGTGAACGTTCACGGAACCTGAATATATTGGACCGGGCTGATCTCTTCTCCTGCTCACTTTTGGTATTTCCCGTGACTGCAGTGGAAGCCCCCTCTGTGTCATTCCGTTTCCCTATGGCAACCCCACTCCCCTGTGTGAACACACTGTACACCCGTTGCCCACATGGTTCCGAGATGGAGGTGAAAGAACTGGAGTGTGACCCTGAGCTCATGGAGAGGCCTGAACTGGTCTGGGATGGACAGATTAAACCACCTCCTTCACCTCCAGGTGTTAGCATTCCAGTTTTAGAAATTGGCTGCTTGGAAGCAGAGCTTGTAACCAAAGCATAGTTGTAGGAGTCATTCCAGGAAGGAGAGAAAGTGGAACCTTTTGGGCCATTCCAGGAGGGGCTTGGGCACATCAGAGTGGCATGATCCATCATGCCTGATGGGGTCTTCGGGGATGGGGGAACACTGTACTCCAGGTCGCTCTGTGTCTTCCGAAGGGGAATATGCTGTTGTCCCGTGTTTTCGGTGGTGGGCTCCAGAGATCTGGGTTGAGAGGATCCAGGGGAACAGGCACCTTGTATTAGATCAACAGCAAGAATTTTGCTGTCACCTAAAGACAGAATAGTTTTTTAAAAATAGTTTAAAAAGAGAATTTAGTTTTTCATTCTTAGACAAGTAGAATGTTTGAAAGATTCAAGAAAGATGAATTTCAATCAGAACATAGTTAGCTAAAATAAATTACAATCTCTGTGACAGTTTGTCAAAGCTTCTGTGTGGCTGCAACAAACATTAGATTTTAAATTTACAAATTACTCTAGATATAAGTCATTGGTCAGTGCCCATTGTCCTTTTCCTGTTTATTTCTTTTTGCACTCTGAGACCCTGTCAGTAACTTGCCTAACTTCCTTTTAGTCACCTTGGCAGTGCAGCGTGACATCAGGGCCTGCAACCACACTCCTTGGGCGGCGAACGGTTTTTGGGTTGACCGCTGAATCAGTTCTAAAGGGGGCCCGCAGTTCGCTGTGCCGTGCGGAGTGCTTATCAAAGCTCTGGCCTGAGGCAAGATATGAGATACCAGCTGTCAGGCTAACTGACAGTCTTCAGTCAGATAAATTGGAAAATTATTAATTACTAAAAATTATTTAGAAAATTATTCTTATGACCTTAAAATGGTTGCATAAAAGCTATATTATTCTATACATGTTATGACTGTGCTGAAAAACATTAGCCATGACCGCGTAATCAGACTTGAGTATGCAATGACAAGCATTTTGGTAAATTTATGAAGAAAAAAGTATATTATGAATAAAAGCAATAGCCAACATGAGATAGATGGTGCCAGATTGATCTGGAGAAATGAAATCAGACAATGGACACTGGATAATACATCAAAACAAGAGCTGGGCATTGACTAAGGACTACCCAATGGAAGATCTATGGAACTTTCTTTCCTTTCTGTGGGATAATACAACACTGATGTGTTTTCAAGATCTGGGCTAGGTGTTTAATAATTTTAAACATCCGGTGCATGAGGGAGTGCTGTGATAAATGGTCCACCATTCTACAATGATGAAAGGAACTGAATATAATGTGCTAATTAAGCCCAGTTCTCACTATGTTTTTTTACATGGATTGGAGAAATACATCCTCACACCCGAAAAAACCCAACGAAACCTCCCAACACGTGAGCTGGCTTCATTCATGAAAATACCAACAAAACATGAAAAAACAAAATCTTTCGTCCTCCATCCCTGTTGCTCCCACCCATCGGCTATAATTCTCTCTCTCTCTCTCACTCATTCACTTTCTGTCTGTCTCTCACTCTATGCAGCTTTTTCTGCACCTCCTAGCGAAGCGAAGGAGGGAGAGCTGCATGTTGCCATGGCAACAGCTACCTGTTCATTATCTTTAGCGGGTGAAGAACAGCACCACTTTGGGAATCAGACTCCAGGCTGCCTAAACTCAGCATTATCTGTGTTTATGGATCCAACCAACTCTCCACTGTGTCCAGGCCAGAGAGGGGAACAGGAAGGTAGTCAATAGGGAGATTTAGAGAGATGGGTGTGTGACAGTTAAGAGCTGAGACAGAGGGAAGGAGAGCAAGAGCACCACTACAACACGAGCTTTAAACACACACAAAAAAAGGGTGAAAGTTTGAGAAAGGAGCAAATGCTTTAACATTTAAAATACAAAATGTGAATGCAAGCAATCTAATCTGACGTGTAAACTCTTAAAAAGGGAACATTATAATTTAGAAATGAGGTTGCCTGTGGTGATGTTGATGATAATATGATTTGCAAGACCAAAAACATCCAGAACAAAGTGACCTAGAACTTTCTTATTGGGGATACACTATTGTTCAGTCTTTGTCATGCTTGAGTTTCTTTCCCCCAAAACTTGTACAGAACATCAGCTGTACACAATTTAAAAAAATCATACTCCATAATACACACACATTCCATTAAAAAAACTTTAATACAGCTAATAAAATGGGGAAATGTTGTAAACCATTAAGCAACGAAGTTCTTAACATGTCAATGACACCTTCAAACAGGTTGTATTTGTTAGACTCTAAAAAGACTTTATAGCATACAAATATACTCAACATGACGGTATTCCAAGTCACCTTTACCTGTGATCTCAATGGGTACAAGGTGAGCTGGAGTATGTCGGCCCAGGTACCAGCGAGGTTTTACTGCAACAGCTGGACTCAGTGAGGCATTCCAGCCAAGAAGGGACTTCTCTGAACCGCTGGGGGTCGGGTCCTGCGCCCGAACCCCTAAAGTTGTGGTCTCATCCTCACACACCTGCTTATTTGCAGGCTAAAGAGAGAAATAATTTGTATTTTTAATGAATTATGTAGTTATTCAAATGCTTAACCACTTCTGAATATGGATTTTGAGGTTTAGTAAGTATAATATACTAAAGTATTAAGTATAAATCTGCATGTATAGCAGAATTGGTAAATCTGGTACTAAAGAATGATAATCCATAGTTAATTCATTTATACTAATAAATAATTTCCTTTATATTCAAACACTGAGTTTGGGATATTATAATGTTTTAGTGTATTGTTTTGCAGGATTTTTATACCACTGTTTGTTTACGCACTCAAAACCACCAACTCAGAGAAGCCTGTAGCTGTTTCCACTCAGGGGACAAACCACATCTAATTAGATTTGCAAACTTTATAAAAAACATTAATGCTTTTTCAGCAAACAAACGAGTTTCAAAATACAATGTCCTCAAAATGCTCAGTAAAACCCTACTTTCATTAGTGTAAGAGCTAAAAAGAAAGCATTACCACAAAAACGAACTCCGTCTTCTTGTTGTTGAGTGAGGAAGGGGATCGGCTGAGAGTGGTTGAAGTGTCCTCCGAGCTCTGAGAGGAAGGGTGTCTGAATGTCTGTCCTGTCACTCTGTTATCATACAACTGCTCCTCAAAATCTGAGTAGACACAGACACAACATGCTAGTTTTAAAGGTAGCAGCTAGCAGCACTAAGACACACACTGAAATCAATTAATGAAATCTCTCTCCCTCTTTGTCAGAAATGTTCCCTAGGGCTCTTGTAAACAGAATGATTACCATTGCATTCATTCCAAGGACTCCCCTCACAAGACCCCACCCCATTCTTGTAGCCATTTTAATCCCCCAAAACATTTTCTTTCACCCCTCCCACTATATACTCAGAAACACACACACACACACACACAAACACTGTCCTTCACTTATCCAAGTCTCTATCCTTTACAGGTCAATAACTGTGTACTGGTTTGGCTATACTCGTGAGAGTCGAACTTTCACTTACCAATGCCTTCAAATGTCAAATAGGGCCGACTGGCTTGTGAGGACATTTAAGTTGTCCTCTACTTGAAAGGCTCATAAATCGGCCAAATCATGTTGTGATTTAACCCTAAAAATGTCGATGACAGGATTCTGTAAGGGTTAGTTTGAGGGGTAAGGTAAGAGTAAATGTTATTTTTAGTATAAATTGTTAATATTAGTATAAAAGCATTCAGCCCATCAATAATAGTCCTCAATAATATGGTCTGGGTCTGTGATTGTGGGGGGGTTGATCCCTCTTTTCCGAACTGGGATGCCGCACTCTAAGACTCGGGGTTGCCTAGCAATGGTGGGCTGTCTAAGACAATGGCATACCTCCGGAGTCAACAATAGCCCCAAGCCCCAAGCTTAGCCTCGTTGAGTATAGAGTCCTCTTCACATGCTGGGACAGAGCAGAACAGAGCACACATCTGAAATCTTAAACCTCCACTAAAATAAGAGTGAGACTACAGCAAAACTACAGCCTACAGCTGTGCATTGCCACATGCGCAACTTTTCAATATCTGTTGGGATTTGATTTATCATGCCGAATGAAGATAGTTCTATTCCAGGAATGATACTTGACCAGATGGCTTTCAAATTGCCACTCTAATGAGATACACAGAAAGACAATCCTGCAGTTAGCCTTAGACCTTAAGTTACTCAGGGAAACACTTGTGCTGAATGCTCTGCTAAGATTGATGGACCAAACCATGTAATCTGATGTGTAAAATCCCATGGAAAGCAAAGTAAAATATAAAAAAGAGGGTTGTGTTATGGAATACGTTATGAATAGTTTCCTGCAGCTGTAACAAGACCAAGTGTTTTGCCAAACACTGACCAACATGCAAAGCATTCCACACACAAACCACACAGCAAATTCCTCTTTAATATACATAACTAACCTAACTTTTCCAAACGCTGTGCTATATTAAAGCAATAACCTTCCTACTGTATCTACACTACCATTCAAGTTTGGGTTCTTTTATTCAGTAAGGATGCATTATATGTAAAGACTTTTCAGTTCCCATAAGAAATAATAATAAGAAATATTTCTGGAGTAGCAAATCAGCATATTAGAATGATTTCACTGTGACACTGAAGACTGGAAAATTCAGCTTTGCAAATGATATTTTAAAATATATACTAAAATAGAAAAAAACGTTCCTTTTAAGTTGTAATAAAATTTCGCAATATTACTGTATTTTTAATAAAATAAATGAAGCCTCGGTGAGCACAGGAGACGTCTTTCATAAACATTAAAAAATCGTACCATCCTCTAACTTTTGAACGGTGTTGTGATCTTAAAAATTTCAGCAAAGTTAATCATGCTAATTTAAATGTATGCACAAGGTTAGATATACAACGGATGCAGCTATGTAAGTGAATACTACTAAATACTAAACTAAGTTCCAACCAAGAGAGAAAAAAGTCAACTAGATAGTCAGAACTCACCAAAACAGTGGTTGGATCACACAAGCCTCTGTGGACGGGTAGGCTTCAAAGACCATATCAAAACTTCAAAGATGATGTACAGTATGGGAGAGGGTAGAAGCAACAGGGAGAATGAGTTTGTGTGTGTGTGTGTGTGTGTGTGAGTGAGTGAGTGAGAAGAGAAGGTATTTCATTCAAACATACCCTCCCTTCCCTGACCTGATCTTGGGCCAGTCAGTAAAACTAATGGGACTCTAAATCTCCATTCATATCAGCCAATCAAATGGCTCGTCTAGACAAGATGCCAACCACTCAAGCGTGTATGAGTGGTCATGAATGACCTCAAAGCATTGCCTAACAAGATGCTCACTAAAAAACCAACCATTTATTAAATATGGGTCACTCCTTGTCTTGTGTATGCAGTAGAGAAGTGGAAGAGGTCAAGAGCAACAATACCCCTTTTCTTGTCAATTTGGGCAGTTTGTGTCTGGGCAGAAGCTTAAGCACTATGAATGCCTGATCTCTTCAATGTTACTGGGTCTCTTAGTTTGCAAACATAATGAGTATGACAGCGAAAGTTAACCCAAGTGAAAATATTTGAAATGTATTCCCTTTTTCAATACACTGCTGTTCATGCTATCCTCACACACACATACACACACGCTTTAGTTTTCTCTGTTATGCTGATGATACTACTAACAAAAATGGTACTTTCTTTAAATATATTAAAAGTATATTAAAAAAAAATCTATTATAATATAATAATTTTTAGGAAATTATAAATAGGGGAACATGCAACAAAAAAGATCAAAGCAACCAACTACAGTATATCAATATACAAATGTATAGGCACATATTCATGGTCAACCACATAAGCTGCCAATTAGCCTTTAGATAAAATGTGACGTACTTTTGCAACTAATTGAGCTTTCCAAAACAAGTCCTGTGTTTACCACATGTCCGAATTACATTGTTCTGAAAGGTGCAGGAAATAAATATCTAATGCCTGCTACAGACAGTGCAATTTCAGCAATCCTATAAGATCATTACAAATCACTCTGTACGACATGGATCTAATAAACAAAAGCCATGTATGTGGACTGTACGATGATGACAACTATTGAATCGCAGACTACGGCGCAAGTTAGTATGGAAGAATAAAATGTCATCAGCATGCGCTACTGGTAAACAAATAAAGCAAGATGGATCGCACTTCGGAAATTGTGTTTATTATGTGCGCTGAAAAAAGAGGAAGGAGAATATGGACACGGTCATGGCTAGGGAGAAGAGGCCAATTTGGCATGACAATTTTATAAATGGAGGCAAGTAGTTTTAAGTTTTAACACCATGTCAGGTTGATCAATATGCCACTTCATTTTGCAGTTGTATTGGCTATTCAGCAGACATAAATTGTAGCATCCAACACACTTTAAGATGATCACTGTCAGAAAATGATTGCAGGCTATCTTTGGTCGCATGATGTAATCCTTTGGTTGTCTTTGATTCACTCTCTCTGGACCACCGTTTAGGAGTCGCGACCACAGAAGGTCATCTTTAGTCTAGGACAGCCCAAAATCGTACAATGTGTACCAGGCATATTCAAATTAAATGACCCATCATTGATCAGCTCTACCAAACTTGATTGTCTTTTTTTCCATGAATAAACAAACACTGTTAAGTTGTCTTGATTGATATTGTGAAGCAGCTTTGATACAATCTGTAAGGGGTAAAAGCGCTATATAAATATATTTGACTTGACTTGACTTGACCAGGCAAATAGAAGATATTCTGTCAGGCCGTAACCACCATAGACATTGAGGGGGAGAATGTTCAACTATTCAATGTCTGAATAGTCAATGGGTTTCTAAGTCTTAAAGGAGCTGTATGCAAGATTGTGGCCAAAACTGGTACTGCAATCACTTTCAAATTAGGGTGTATCTCCGCCTTCCTCCATGACTCGAGGACCAGATATGCTGCAGTTTCCAGCAGGAACTTAGGCTGCTACAAGAAGCTTCCGATTGCAAGTGACAAGTCCTTCACTGTGAGTTTTTTGGGAGTTTCGCAACGTTAGAATTTTTTTATCCGATTCCAACATGTTTGTATCTGCACCTGTGGTAACTAGAGAAGAGCTGGCAACCCGAATGCTGCAACATTACTGAATCCGTGATTGGTAGATCGGTGGAGGGTGACGCATCAGAACAAAACACAACTTGACAACATCAACATCAGTCAAGGGCTGCGACTTCACTTTTTAAATGACAAAATCTTGGCCGGACTACTGTTGTCAGAGATATAAGCATTTGAAATGAACATGATTCTTAATGTCTAGTGACATATCAGGGAAAATGTATGATTAATTGAAATGAATTTCTTGCATACAGCTCCTTAAAACTTTTCTTGCTCCATTCAGTCTTCAAATTTGGCTACATCCTTGAATGGCAGACGGGCATATGCAGTGGCAAATTGCTGTTTATGCACATAGCACAGTGCCACACATTCATAAACACTGACCACCCACTCACATTGTTTAAGCAACAGCTGCCCAGTCGATCTGATTTTAAACCAGAATAGCATCTCATACCTCACAGAAACATATTAATAGCTGACATCAAACAAGAAAGAGATAAAAGAGGGAAATTTAACCATGTACAGTCGCACACACACACACACAGTGACAAGAGTCAAGAGCATTGACATATTCATTCAGCGAATGAAAAAGCCAAAAGAGAAAGGGAGACTGTATTCTCTACAGATGGAAATTAATCTAATGGATCACAAGGAAGGACGAAGTATGAGTCAGAAATAGAGGGGGAACGATGGGAGACGAGGGGAGGGAAAACATGAGGATGCTCGGAGGAAAAGAAAAACAAATAGTGGCTCTCTTACACGCATTGGGAAACACAGAATGGGAATGGATGTGGAAGATATTCGCAGACAGCACGCATGCAAGGAAAATCAAAACACACACCCACAAAAACAAAACGAAAACACACAGGCAGATTCAGGCAGGCAGGGACGACGGTGGCACCGAAACACACAGACGAAGCGCCTGCAGCTGACTCTCTTACCTTGAAGCAGACTCTGTAGGTTCAGCTGAGCCTCCTGGTGCAGTTCCTGCACACACTCCGGCCTACTCCACGAGCCGAACACATTCACATGCTGTTGCCATGACGATTGGAAGTGGGCCGTTCGTTTGCTCTCTGAGTCCAAGTTGGTGGCGGCTGGCAGAGAGAGAGAGTCAGAGGGAGGGGAGAAGAACAAGAGATACAGATAGAAGGAGGAAGTGAGAGCAAGAGAAAAGGAGAGAGAGAGAGATGCAGAAAGGAGGGGAGAAAAAAGATACATAAATAAAAACTGATATAATTTGCATATCTTTTTATATATATATGCCTACTACGGCAGCAGGGGAGTTGCAGACATCCAACCAAGCAACTGCACACTAGATTTGCGATACTTTAACCATGACAATTAATGAATCACAAACCTAATATGTTTTTCTGTCTGACAAATTATACTGGAGACCCAACAGAAAGAGCATGCATTAATAGAGCGAACAATGTTTTTTTCTCTTTTGGTTTATGGTAGAGCAGCAGCATCTGTAGACTTAAGGCCCGTTCACACCAAGGATGATAACTATAATGATGAAAACAATAAATTATTAATAATTGTTCCAATTCTATGAGAATAGGGAAGTCCACACTCCACACCACAACTACCTAAGAGGAATGATATCGTTGGAATTAGTTTCAGAACGTTGTTTTTCCAGCAGAATCCACTGACTTTAAAGAACTCAAGCATTTAAAGGTCTCATGACATGAAATGTTCACTTTCTGAGGTTTTTTAACATTAATATGTGTTCCCCTAGCCTGAATATGTTCCCCCAGTGGCTAGAAATTTCAATCGGTGTAAACTGAGCTTTGGCTTTTTTCTCTGCCTTTGAGAAAATAAAAAGCTCAGATGCGCTGATCTTGAATCTCCCCTGTATGATGTCATACAGAGGAAAGGTAACCTCCCTTTTCTCTGCTTTGCCCACTCAGAGAATCTGGCTCGCCCATGAGAAAATGAGCTAGGAAGTACGAACGCGCGATTTGAGTTTTTTTGATCAGTGTTCGGATGTATAACCCCAAATCAGAAAAAGTTGGGCCATTTTGTAAAATGCAATAAAATAAAATCAAGAATCTGTTATTTGTTCATTCTTTTTAACCTTTTTTAAACTAACAGTTAAAAGTTAAAAAGTTAAAAGTTTTCCAATGTTTTCACTGACTATTTATTTTGTAATTTTGTCAGCTAATAAAAGGTTAAATGGAATGAACAAATCACGGATTCTTGATTTTATTGCATTTTACAAAATGTCCCAACTTTTTCTTATTTGGGGTTGTACAAATGAACACAAAAGTATTTTTTAGTTCCTTCATCAGAGCCTCTGAAGAAACATCATTTTATTTTCTCTGGAAACTGTTTCCTCAACTTGGGCCAATACAGAGCAGAACTTTTACCATTTTTGAATCCATTCAGCCGATCTCCGGTTCTGGCGGTACCACTTTTAGCATAGCTTAGCAAACATCATTGAAGTGCACAAGACCATTAGCATTTCTCAGAAAAAAATGACCAAAGTGTTTAGATATTTTTCCTATTTAAAACTTGACTCTTCTTTAATTATATTGTGCACTAAGACCGACGGAAAATGTAAAGTTGCGATTTTCTAGGCTGATATGGCTAGGAACTATACTCTCATTCCTCCGTAATAATCAAGAAAATTATAATCAGGAAACTTCACTGTCGTACCATGAGTGCAGCAGGCGTAATGTTATGACGCAGTGCCTGAAAATAGTGCCCAGCTTCCAACGTGACCGGGACTAAGTTTGTGTAGTCATTACGCCTGCTGCACTCATGGTACGGCCGTGAAGTTTCTTGATTATATTACGCATTCCTAGTCATATCAGCCTAGAAAATCGCAACTTTACATTTTCCGTCTGTCTTAGTGCACAATGTAACTATAGAAGAGTCAAGTTTTAAATAGGAAAAATATTGAAACACTTTGGTCATTTTTTTGGGAGAAATGCTAATGGTCTTGTGCACTTCAATGATGTATGCTAAGCTATGCTAAAAGTGGTACCGCCAGAACCGGAGATCGGCTGAATGGATTCAAAAACGGTAAAACTCAACAGTTTAACTCTGGGGGAGTTGTAAAATGAGCATATTTCCCCAAAAAAAGTGGAGTATCCCTTTAAGCAGCAGCAGCAGCAGCATCATATTTTACATGCTCACAGCAGCATGCATGTCTACATGTCTACGCACTTGCTCTGAAGCAGCAGCGTAGCAGAACTAGTCTGACCAAATGCATTAACATGTCATATATGAATATTTGAACATGTCATATTATTTCAATATTTAACATGTCATATTATTCAATATTTGACCTGTGAAACTTATTTTGGTAAACAAAAAAGAATCAGAATAAGAGATTAATTTGTGACTGATAGACATGTCTCACATTAAAGTTTTAATGCAATGGTGAGGGCAAAATGATTGATTTTTTTTTTTTACACTTTTATAATCCTGCATACCAACAAGACATCTTCATTTAAAGCTTACTGCCAGAGAGCAGAGAGATAGAAAACGACACTGATGAAAAAGAACGCTCACTTGTCTCCCGAGAGGTTAACTGAGCACACTTAATTACAACTTCAGCACTAGTTCTCCAAGAGGAAATTAATATGCTATTTTTTTCCTCTTACGCAACTCTGACTGATCTTCAAAGCATAAAGATTTATGGAATTCAAAGCAAAGTCAACATGTTGAGCATCAGGACAAACAGAAGGGGCTATATAAAAAAAAATTGGTGTATAAACAATTTTCACTAAAAAATGGCTAGTAAACTTCACAATGAATTACAAAGAAATAGCAAGTAAAACATTACATTTTTTTATAAAGAATGAAACAGTGTTTTCTTGTAAAACATAGTCCAATGATGTTTTTAATGTTGTTGTTTTTTAACTTTATTGACGGTGTAGGAGGGCTGTATAGGAATGAGAAAATAAGGTGAACGACTAGTTAGCTTGGGCTGATGTTCTAGAAGTCATTCACAGTAAGTCTTCTGACTGGATCAGACACACAATACTTTTAAGATACAAATCTAGACTCAGCCAACCTACATCTACATTTGATTTTGGGGTATCAGTAAAATACAATCAATCCACAGAGAAAAAAAACAAGAAAAAAACAACTGACTCTTACTTCCATAGTGGTCAACCGCAGTAAGATTAAGGAAACAATCTCATGTTAGGTGTAAAATCTTTCCATGTTTCCATTTCCTGCTGCAGCATCTGAACTCCACTGTACTCATTCACACACTGCCATTAAAGGCACACTATGTAGGAATCCTATTTTTGTCAAACAGCGAAGTACTTTTATTTAACGTTGCTGTCGTAAATACCTCTCATGCAGAGCGTCTCTGCACCATAGATTGACAAAAATGTGATATTGCGATATCGATAATGAATATTGCGATATCGATATTAATTTCGATATTTTTAAACGGATGTAAAACTACAAAAGTTATTGGAAAACGCATCAAAAAGATTAATAAATAAAACAAGTTTTCTTACAACATAAGATTTATTTCAACTGACAGTCATATTGGACTGGTACAGCATTAATAAATAGGCCTAAATAATATGTCAACAGAACAGGACATGTTAGTTGTGTACACTACAGTGTAAAAGATAATAAATAAATAGCAAGTCTACAGAACACACTATGCAACATAAACCCCACTATATGCGTTTTCTTTGACCGGATAGCTATCTGATCGTGAAAAGACCAGCTGTAATGCCCTGTGAAACGTATTTGTGACGTATTTGAATCTAATCGCTTAAACCACTTCAGGAGGTGGTCTGGGCCGCATTTCAGTTGAAACTGGACAAATGTAAATGCATCTCGTTATTGAATAAACCACATATGTAAAATGTACTCCTTCCAAAAACGCTAACAAATGAGAACGTTACAGGCTTGTCATGTTATGGCTAGATATGACGACGCGCGCGACTACAACACGCATCACCGCAGATGAGCAGCTGCTGAACATTTACTTTTCATCAAGCCAACGCGCAAACTATCAAAGTAAAAGTAAGTCGCAGACGCTTTTCACAGTTATCTTCATTAAAAGTAAATAAACGAACTGACCTTATTTTACCTGATGATCATAAAACGCAGCTCATAACTGTTCCTTTCGGTGACGTGCACTTCATTAAATCTGCATATAGTGCGGGAATTGAAGATCGTATTTTTTTGATAAATCAGATAGCTATCCGATTCAGTGAAAACGCATGAAGTTGCCAGGTGGACCGTGGCCTGATGTACTTGTGCGCTGGTGTGCGCGTCGAGCCGGCAAGTGTGTGTGTGTGTGTGTGTGGGACTGTGTGGTTGGAGAGCAAGGGAGAAGTGAGAGAGTGACGGCGGTTAGCTTTGGAGCGAGTAGCGACTTTATATTGCGAAAAACAAAGAGTCTCTCCTGTTCTTTCTGACCACTGTGGGAAATCTGTAGCATGAAAAGTTAAACCTCTCTTGATTTAATATTGTTTATGGAGAAGGAGAATCAAGAAATGAGTCGGGGGGAAATGCAACGGTGCATGTCGGACCAGACGCATCATAAACAAAATATTGCGTAAATATTGCGACACTTTCGATATGGATATCGAGCAACGTGATATCGCGATAACGATATTGATTCGATATATCGTGCACCCCTAACGTAGTGTCCGTGATGTCACCCGTGGGTTTCTGAAGAGCGTTTTTGAACCCTAAAGTGGGCGGGGCCAGCCGTAACCATCTTGGCAGCGCGTCAGCCCTTGGCAGGATGTGGGTTGAGCTGAGGTGCTATTTTTCGCTGATTGTTCTCTCCATACTCGACAATAACGAAATCCAACGGAGTGGGCGAAGGTATGCGTGTATTCAATTGTATGAAATAATCCCGAAAAAACCACGAACACGACAGAGATGGCAAGTACAGCAACTGCTGCAATTAGCTGAGAGTTACGTTAACAGACAGCAGACAAACGACCACAATCCACCTGTCACTCAAGAGGCCACGCCCTTAATTATGCAGGCTTAATATAATTTAAACGCATGAGTTGTGAAAAAATTCATAAAAAATTCAATTCATACTCTTTTGATTTCACCGGAATGAATAGAGAGGACATGCCCCACCCGTCCCACCCAC